TCATCACAGTCTCGGAGTGACCAGTAGTATTAAACAATTTAATTAATACAAATGATATAAACAAATAAATTAAGATTCCATTTTTAAAGGAAACAAATCACTCTCTCTCTCGAGAGAGAAACTCTTTCCTTCACATATATCCAAGAAAAGAAAAAAAAGAGTTTTCTCCGAGAAAATTTGCAATGTTCCCGGTCACAAGTCGCCGCCACTTCTCATTCTCCCTATATATGCTCCGTTCATCTTCTCCACACAACCATGCTAATCTCTACTCTTCCTCTTCCCTTCCTTCATTAGTCTCTTCCAAATTCTCTTCTTCAACCAAAGATAATAACCTAGAAACTTCTTCTCCTCCAATGACGGCTTGCATCGACACTTGCCGAACTGGCAAACCCCAGATCTCTCGCGATTCAAACAAATCTCACGACGACGATGAATCAGGCTTCCGTTACATGAATTACTATCGAGTTTCTCGACCTCCTCCTTCTTCTTTCAATCAGACGAAAACCCTCCACACAACACGTCCTTTGATTGAAGATTCCGAAATCGATCATCTCTGGGCCAAAATCAGAGAAGAAGCTAAATCTGACATCGAGAGAGAACCAATCGTTTCTGGGTATTATCAAGCTTCGATTGTTTCGCAGAGATCGTTAGAAGCGGCGTTAGCGAATACCTTATCGGTTAAACTCAGCAATTTGAATCTTCCAAGCAACACGCTTTTCGATTTGTTCATCGGTGTTCTCGAAGAAAACCCAGAAATCATTGAATCTGTGAAGCAAGATCTGTTAGCTGTCAAGGAGAGAGACCCAGCTTGTATAAGCTACGTCCATTGTTTCTTACATTTCAAGGGCTTCCTCGCTTGTCAAGCGCATCGAATCGCTCATGAGCTATGGACGCAGGACAGGAAAATCCTTGCTTTGTTGATTCAGAACAGAGTATCTGAAGCTTTCGCTGTTGATTTTCACCCTGGGGCTAAAATCGGAACCGGGATTTTGCTCGATCACGCGACGGCGATCGTGATTGGTGAGACGGCGGTTGTGGGGAACAATGTTTCTATTCTTCATAACGTTACGCTTGGAGGAACGGGGAAACAGTGTGGAGACAGGCATCCGAAGATTGGAGATGGGGTTTTGATTGGAGCTGGGACGTGTATTTTGGGGAATATCACGATTGGAGAAGGAGCTAAGATCGGTGCTGGCTCGGTGGTGCTGAAGGATGTGCCGCCGCGTACGACGGCTGTGGGGAATCCGGCGAGGTTGCTTGGTGGTAAAGATAATCCGAAAAAGCATGACAAGATTCCTGGTTTGACCATGGACCAAACATCGCATATATCCGAGTGGTCGGATTATGTAATCTGAAAAAGTCT